ATGAGCAATCCTCGGCCTTTGGAGGAGGTGGGCTGGGTGCAGGTGGAGGAGAGGGGTGGGAGCTTCTGGGGAGATGGGAGGTAAAGAGCCAAATGTTTCAGAGACAGTGGAGAAAGTGAAAAGTCATGACTGGATTCAGAGCTAAAAGGTATTTCGTGATCATTAAAATGGAGAAAGATTCAGAGATGGAACCCAAGTCAGAGTAGGGGGAACCCTCCTACATCTCTTGCAAAGTATCCTACTTTTCTTCTGAAAGGAAATTTTGACCCCAACATCCTTCTTCCCTAGATGGGATGATAGGATCTCAGTGTTAGCTTCGGAAATTCTGAGATCTCTGCAAGTGAAAAGTTAATGCTTAGAACACTCTTGAGAAGGATGGAGAGATAAAGCCATTAAATGCGACAACTGGAAGGGACCTTTGAAATTCTTCACACACGTGCATATTGTGTATATTTGGAAAATGAGGCTCAAATAAGAGGAATGACTTTCTCAAGTTCATATAGGACTGAAACAGAGCTGGATCCCAGGAAGAAAACTAGATTTTTGGTGGTGAGCACACACAGTAGAGTATACGGATAGGAACTTCTAACGTACAGCTGAAATTTATATAATGTTATTAAGCAATGCTAAATCAATAAATTTAATTTAAAAAATAAAGAATGAAAGATGCCCAGTCAGATTAGAATTTCACATCCACAACAAATAATCTTATAGTATAAGTATATCCTGTGCAATATTTGGGATATATTCATACTACAAATCATATTTGGTTTTTTTATTAATCCAAAATTTGATTATAATGAGTATCCTGTATTTTACCTGGCAACCTTAACCTCAAGCCTCTTAGGACCACATCTTCTGCTTCTCCTTGACTTCCCTACCCCTTTGATTATTTTTGTCATCTCTTGGCCCAGGAGGCATATGACATGTCAGGCGCTCGCCTAGCCCTGACGCTGTGTGTCACCAAAGCCCGGGAAGGTTCAGAGGCAGACATACACGCCCTGGAATTAATGTTTCAGCAGCTGGGATTTGAGAGTACCATGAAGAAAGACCCCACCGCCCAGGTATTGTGCAGCCAGCCCCAGGCCAACTGGGGAGGGGCTGGACCAGTAGGTGGGCTCCAAAGATGTACCTGAGTCTAGCCATTCTTCTCACTCTAGCAATTCCTGGAAGAGATGAAAAAATTCCAGCATGCCATTGATGCCCGGGAAGATTCCGTCAGCTGTGCTTTTGTGGTACTCATGGCACATGGGCTAGAAGGACACCTTGAAGGGGAGGACGAGCAGATGGTTGATCTGGAGAATCTGTTTGAAGTTCTGAACAACAAGAATTGCCAGGCCCTGAGAGCCAAGCCTAAGGTGTACATCGTGCAGGCCTGTCGAGGAGGTGGGGACAGAGCCGAGAACACGGAGTTTGTGTTTCCAATCCAGTCCTATCCCAGATCTAGAGCCCCAGCTGAGCCTTGCATTGCTGATGTGTCTTATGAGCGTCTCCTTCCCTCATCTTTCTCTCTGACTTTGCCTTTTCCTCTTCTTGGTGTTTCAGAACAAAAGGATCCTGGTGAAATAGTAGGTGGAGACAATATTGTGATGAGCGCAAAAGACAGTCTCCAAACCATTCCAACGTACACAGACATCCTCCAGGTCTACTCCACCGTGGGAGGTATGAGCTCCCAGCTGACCCAGGGCAGCCTCTGCTCCCTCACCTCACCTGCCGCTCCTGACCCCTGACATGCCCCACCAGGACCCACCCTCTTCCAGGCCCTCATGCACCACACACGCCCTGACCCTCCCACACCCATTGGAGCTCCCTGAGTCCACTTCTTTCTCTGCAATCCCCAGGGTACATTTCTTACAGACATGACAAGGATGGCTCCTGCTTCATCCAGACCCTGGTTGATGTGTTCACAGAAAGGAAAGGACCCATTCTGGAGCTTCTGACAGAGGTGAGTTGGGACAAGGTACCTGGAACCACCACCACCCCCAGCCTGAGCAAGGAGCAAGCAGAGTGGGGCGAGCCTCTTCCAAACCTTTCTGCATTTCCCCCTCCCCTGCTCCCAGCCCCAAATCCAACCCAAGCCTCTAGCAATTACTTTCTCTCATGCAGGAATTCCAAAGCCCACAGTATGTGAGATAATTTAAATGAAATACAGATGAATTTCTGTAAACAAAACCTTTGGGTTTAACCAATGTTTGGACAAACATTTTTTTTCTAATGGTTATGTGCTTTTATAGCAGATTAGAAAAAAAGAAAAAAGAAAAAAACAAGAATGTCCAGCCAATGATTCTGTAAACATGATGGCATAGGATGAGACAAATAAAGGTCACCCATCTAAGTACAGGGATATCCACCTGCCCTCTTCGCTAACCTTCTCCGCTTAAGCCCATTACACTGACTGCCCCAGGGGCCTAGGCCCAACTGATCGTACCTGTTGCCACAGGTAACCCGGCGGATGGCAGAAGCAGAGCTGGTTCAGGAAGGGGAAGCAAGGAAAGTGAACCCTGAAATCCAAAGCACCCTTCGGAAGCGGCTCTATCTGCAGTAGCAGTAGAAAGGGCATGGAGGGGCTCCCTTTCGGGAGGATGTTCCTTGGATGTTTAAAGGCAACTGTCATCCCTCCCCCAAAATCTTCTCTTCCCAAAGCTAAATAGCACCCAGTCCTTTCTTCATACCCCTTATGCAGTTCCTCTTTCAATTTGTTCCTGTCCTTCCTAGAGCAACCCAGGTAAAAATGAGCACAAGGCATGGTGTTAACAGTAACATTACTCACCTCAAGCGGGACTCTACCTCTATAAATGCAACCTAAGAAGGTAAACATTTATCTCACTTTCTGCTCCTATGCTCATTTGAAACTGTCTTCCACCTTTCATAAATCATACCCATACAAACATAACTAGATAAAGCTCAAGATTTTCCCCTGGTAAACCAATGCCCACTCACCACCTCCCACCTCAATCAAACCTTCTCTGGCTCCAAATCTCACCTAGCATTACAACCTCTTCCTGAACCCACATCCATTCCTATCTCCCAGAAATTCGCTCCCAATTTCTAGAAATCCAGTCTGGCAGGAATCATTCTCTCTCTCTAAGACCCCTCTTCCTTGGCTAGCAAGCTGATTCTCCTCCTAGTTCACGAGCTCTCTCTGGCTAACAGAGATGCCTCCTCCTTTTATATATCTCTCTCTCATAACTCCCACTGCCCCCCCACCACAACAAGGCCCTGGACTCTGCCTTCTCTATGGGAAAATCCATCCATTTATCCATTCTCACAGTTTCAACTTTCAACCACCCTGAATCAGAGCATGTTGGAATTACAGCAAATCCTTTAGTGTCACCCTGCTATTTTGTAGACAATATAATAAAGGCCCGGAGAAGTTAAATGGCTTGTGAAATGCCACAAAGTAAGTCAGGGTCAGGGTCAAGGTTTGGCTTCCAGCCTAGCCCCCTGTCCACTGTCTGCTAAGTCTTGATCCATCAGAAAACTTTTCTAATAAGAGGAGCTACCTAATAAAAGTTCGTCTTATCTTGAATGTAAGAGTTCCCCAGAAGACTTCTAGAAATTCCTGATAACCAGCATATAAGGCTATCTCCATGAAATTCCAGCAATGGGCTGGAAGGCGGATCAGATGTACTGCCTGCCAAGTCTGTGATACATGTCTTTTTATCTCCAGCCTGGACCTTCCCATGGAAATAACCTGTGGTCATATCTGCCATCATTAACAACTCATGGTTAAAATTAGTCTTTTCTTCTGTTCCATCCTCCAAGTGTTCCCTGGCACCCTCAACCTCAGACCCCAAGTTTGGAATTCTGCAGTTATCTAGGACACCTTTCTTCTTGCAACCTTCATATACCACCAGCCACCAGGCCCAGCCCAGCATAACTTTGAAACACTTCTCATACCTGTCTTCTCTCCCTTTACATGTAATCCTCCAGGCTCAAGGCCCATCCTCTCACGTTTGCATCTTTGCATCAGCTTCCTTCCTTGCCTCTCTGCCTGACCATCTCATCTTTCCTCTGCCCTCTATACCATCCATAATTCTTGATCTTCCTAGAACACCCAAGAAGGTACAATGGCAGCCCATTGTTTAGACACCAAAGCCAAACTTGACATCCTGATTTCTCACACCTTTATAATTCTACCTCCTACCAAAAACCATCCCCCACTTCTCCCACCATGAATTTGCTCTTCCAACAAGATTAATGTTCTCTTGCTCATCCCTGCCTCTAAACCTTTGCTATCACTATTTCCCCAAGCTGGAGTGACCTCTCTCTTCCTTCACCCCTTTTCCATTATTTCCTACCCCTATTTATTCCAGAAAGCCATTCCTATTAGTTTTTCTAGTTGATTCTGTTCTCTCGCCCAGGATTAGATATTGACAATTACAATTTCTTGAGGGCAAGGAACAAGTCTTTGATTAACATAATGGGTGTTCAATAAACAGTTGTCAAACTTTAAAAGTACATGTTGGATCTTTGTTCTGTACTTAAACTATGAAGCTGATGTGAAAGGCATTTTGGATTTGGTTTCTTTTTCCTAATGGGCAGCTGCCTCCCAGATGTGTCTTTCATGAACAGAGAATCAGGAGTTCATCCTGTTTCTTTTATAAAAACAGATGTGTTAGGAATTTGTAAAATTACAGGCCATTCTTTTATGCCAAGTGGCTATATTTTACATAATTGTTCCATCTCTAGAATATTCTCAGTGAAGTATCCAGACAGAACTGTAGCTTTTCAGAACCATAAGAGACCTAGTTACAGGATCACAAATATTTAGCCACCTCTCTCTACCTGGGTGTCCATTGCAAACATAACTGATCAGTCAAACCTCTTTCCCATTGTTCTGGGGTGTAGCCTCAAAGTCTTTTTCCTTTCGGCATCCCAGAAAGCATAAGCACATCAGTCTTGATCCATTCGAATCCCTTTATTAGGGACCAACTTGTCTAGAGTCGCTAAGTTCTTAAATAGTAAACCCAGAGCTTCTCACCTATGATGCAGTAAATGGCCATGGCAGCAGTTGGGGCTTCATCTATAGAAATAGCAGAGCAAGTGGTTGAGGCAGGGGTGAGTACACAAGGACAAGTAGATCTGGGGTGATGCACATATTGAGACCTGTACACCCACCAATGTACAAACCTGTGCTCCAAACACCCAACAAATTTGGATTCTCCAAACACAAGAGTCAGCAAACTATGACCCGATCACCAAATCCAGCCTGCAGCCTGTTTTTATAAATAAAGGTTTATTGGCACAGTCATGCTCATTCATTTACATATTGTCAATGGCTCTTTTCACGCTGCAACAGCAAGACTTACGTAGTTACTACAGACACCATATGGCCTGCAGCATTGAAAATAGTTACTACCAGCCCTTTACAGAAAAAAAGTGTGTCAACCTCTGCCCATATATCCCACCAACAAGTTCTCATTTTGCTGGAGTTGGCCAGAGTGGCTCACCACCAAGAACCACACCTGATACAACAGGCAACAGGGCACTAAAACACATGGCTTAATTCTTCAAGAACCCTGAGTAAGGGTTTCCCCCAATTACTTAGTAAGGATTTGAAAGTTCATCCTGGAAGTTTACTATTTAGTATCAGGGGCAGATCCAGGTCTTGTAGGACCTTTACGATTAGAGCAGGAGAGGTCTTTCCTTCAGAAAAAAAATACAAAAATACCAGCACAGAGTTTTATAGCCCCGTTAGTACATTGTCAGGTCTCTCGCAGGGCCTTGGAGGGGTCCAAGAATGTGGGGCCCGGCAGCTGATTCTGTGTTCACGTCACAGCAACCCCACCTCTGTCGACCATCTGTTCTCCAACTGTACTTCAACTACAGCAAGAACAGTCATTTCAAAATGAAAACCTGACCCACCATGCGTCTTCTTAAAATCTTTCAATGGTCTCCCATTGCCCTTTGGATTAGGAACAAAAGTCCTAGCTCAACATTGAGGCCCCACGTTTTCACCTCTACCCTTTCACTCTTATCGGTGAAAACGTTTTGGAAATAGTGGTGGTGTTTGCACATCACAAATGTAATTCATTCCACTGAATTGTACTTGAAATCGGTTAAAATTTTATGTTATAAGCATAAATGATCACAATTTTAAAAAATTAATAATGTAACATACCGAAAAACAATGAATTATTCATTAACGAGGTGAAGGAGGTTAACATCCTTCCTTCCTAAATCCACCAGGGATGTCATATGAATTTCAAGATGTAATTAAATATGATATAACTAAATAATATGATGTAATGTGATTTCACCTTTGGGTGTTCTCTTCAAAAAGGTATTTGTAACAGCTTTGTTGACATATACTTCACATACCATACAATTTATCCATTTAAAGTGTACAATTCATTGTTTTTTGGCATGTGACTTTTTTCATCCATAACCCAAATCTAATCATGAGAAAAACATTAGACAAACACAGATTGGTTGATATCTAAAGGACACCTGGTCAGTCCTCCACAAGACTGTCAAGGTCATGAAAAATAAGAAAAGCTTGTGAGAAATTATTCCAAACTGACAGAGACTGCGGGGAAGTGACAATTCAATGCAATGTGGTACTCTAGATTGGCGCTTAGAACAGAAAGAGCGCAATAATGGAAAAACTGGTAAAATCTAAAGTCTCAAATTTAACTTTTAAAAAATAAATATGTGGGTTCTTCTCTTCCCCAGATCCCATTCTAACAATGAGAAAACATCAAACATCAAACTCTAATACTGGAGCAGTATTCTTTAAAATCGTCAAGGTCATGAAAAACAAGACGTGACGGAGGAGCTGTCATAGATCAGAGGAAACAAAACAAAATTTTTAATGCAATGTGATGTCCTGTTGGATTCTGAAACAGAAAAAAAGAGACATTTGTGGGCAAATTGGTGAACTCTGAATGCTGAGTTTAGTTAAACAGTACTGTGCCAATGCAAGTTTTAAGAACTGTACCCTTGGAAGCAACCAAAGTGTTCTATGATAGATGATTGGCTAAAGAAGCTGTGGTACACATATACAGTGTAATATTACTCAGCCGTAAGAAGAGATGAAATACTGCCATTTATAACAACCTGGATGGACCTCGAGATAATCATGCTAAGCGAAATAAGCCAGACTGAAAAAGTTGAAAATCACATGATATCACTTATATGTAGGATATATACCTAAAAGCAACAAATGATCAGGACAAACAAACAGAGACTCATGGAGATGGACTATAGACTAGTGGTTACCAAAGGTTAGGGATGGGGGGAGGGGAGAAGTAGACAAGGTAAAGGGGATCAAATATGTGGTGACAGAAAGAAATCTAACTTTGGGAGGTGAACACACAATGTAAATATATATATGTCTTATTGTTAAAGTGTATAGTTGAAACATTGGATTTCGTTAACCAATGTCACCATAAAAAATAAATTAATTCGTTTTTTTAAAAAAAGAACTGTACCCTTGTTGAGTAAGATATTGACATTAAAAGACTAGCACAAGAACTCTTTGTATTAATTTTTGCAACTTTTCTGTAAATCTACAAGTATCCCAAAATAGTTTATTTAAAACAAATGAAAAATAATAACTAAGGTAGTCTTTGTTTCCCAGACTTAACCTTGATTGCTACAGGTGTAATTATCATTTATTTTAAAGCAGGGGAAGTAGACATACAGTATCTAATCTATGTAAGTGAATTTGTCAGTTTTAATCTGTTGCTATTAGAATACGGTGCAATTTCAGAGGCATAACAAAAGGTTGGCAAATCAATGCTAATTCTCTTTAGCATTTCAACATTTTTTTCAGTTTTATTGAGATATATTTGACATATAGCATGTGTAAGTTTAAGGTGTACAGCGCAATAGTATGACTTACATATATTGTGAAATGATTACCACAAAAAGTTTAGTTAACATCCATCATCTCATATAGATACCAAAAAAAAAAATGGTGTTTTCCTTGTGATGAGAACTCTCAGGATCTATTCTCTCAGCAACTTTCAAATGTCCCATATGGCATTGTTCTCTACAGCCACCATGCTATATATTACATCCCCAGGACTTACTTATCTTGTAACTGGAAGTTTGTACCATTTGACCACCTTCCTCCAATTTCCCCTCCCCCAAACCCCCTCTTCTGGTAACCAAAATCTAATCTCTGAGTTTGTTTTATTTCATGTTTTATTTTAGATTCCGCACATAAGTGACATCATGTTAAATTTGACATTATACTTAACTTGAGAAGAATTTAAATTTTGCCCTTGATGCTTGGAGTTAGAATGTTATTGTGTCAAGATGAAGTATCATTCAACCACTCTACACCATCCTGGATGGGTTTACCTTTTAAAGGTAACATACCTATTTTTTTGGATAGGTTGAGGGGAGAGGAGGGTTGGAAGAGACCAGGGAACAGATATTAAGCATTTCCTGACTGCACCCAACATTTTCCCACTAATTATTCTGTAGAATAGGGTGAAGCCAGCATTAGTGGGAAGACTCAATGCATGATCCTCCCACCCAAACCACAGAATTTAAGAATGTTAGCACACCCAGAAGGCACACCCCTGGTTGTTCACATTGACCAGGCACATATCCAAACGGAGTTTCTATATTACAGTTTCCCAAACTTTGATTTTTCACATGCTACTGTCATCCCATATCTACATATTCCTGTATCATTATTTCATTGATATTTTTCTTTAAAGCAATTTTATTTTTTTATTTAAAAGGAAACTATTATCCATACAATGCAATATTGTTTGGCATTAAAAAGGAATGAAGGGCTGATATTGGCTACAGCATGGATGAACTTTGAAAATATTATGCTAAGTGGAAAAAAAAATATGTTATATGATTCCATTTGTATGAAATGTCCAGAATAGGCAAATCATAAACCCAGAAAGCATACTGGTGACTAAAGGGGTTAGGGGGAGGGAGAAATTGAGAATGATTGCTTAATGGGTTTGGAGTATCCTTTTGGGGTGATGAAAAGGTTCTGGAATTGAATAGTGGTGACGGCTGCACAACTCTTTGAATAGACCAAAGACCATTAAATTGTATACTTTCAAAGGGCTAATTTTATGGTGTGTAAATTATATATCAGTAAAGTCGTTATTTAAAAAATGAAACAGTTACCTATTATGATAGATGGAAAGTCAGTATCACTTGCCCTAAACAGGAGATAAGCACATAAGTAAAAACATGCAATTAAAAATTTAAATACTCATAGACGAACCATCAAAAGTCATCTCAATGCACCATCAGTATGAGTTCCACGTTCTGCCTCTCAGTACCATCACCACCATCCTGGTCTATGCCTCTACGTGCGCACATACAAACATTTCTCTGAGAGTGGAATTGCTTAGTCAAAGATCTGAGCATTTTATTTTTGATAGATGTGTTCACTCACTCATTACACTAAAATAATTTCTCACGCTCCTATCAAATGCCAAATACTGTTGTAGGTACTGGAAATAGTGTGATTGACAAAGCCCCTGATCTCATGGAAGTTATATTCTAGTGGGAAAACTATCTGTAAACAAATATAATATAAATACAAATATAAAATGTCTATAATATAATTTTTATCACATAATATTATTTTTAGTAGTGCTACGTGCAATAGAGTAAAAGACGGCATCACAAAGAGTTAAAGAATGGTGTGGGAAAGATGCTTTTTTACTGTGGCAAAATACACATAACAAAATGTACCACTTTAACCATTTTTTACATGTGTAATTCAGTGGCATTTAGTACATTCACAATGTTATGCAATCGTCACCTACATGTAATTCCAGAATATTTTCATCACCCAAAAGGAAGCCCCATCCCCTTGTGGGTGGTCAGGGAGGTGATATTTCAACAGAGATCTGCCTGAAGGAAGAGTGAGTGAGAACCATGTGAAGATCAGATGGTCTTCGCATGTGACTTTCATTAGGTCTGTACTCATGTACTAAGGTCAGACCTGTACTACCATTTTGTTCATATTTCTCTTTAAAGTAATTCCTTTCATGACTTAAAGAGCAAACTGTTATCCATACGATGGAATATTATTTGGCAATTTAAAAAAAGAACAAAGTACCAATTCACACTGTAGCACAGATGTGCCTTAAAAGCATTATGGTCTTAAAGGGAAGACCACTCTTTGTGTCTCTGGGAGGAAATCAAGGACCAACAGGCAGAAATGTCGAGGAAGCAGATTTCAGCTTAACCTCAGGAAGAGCCTTCTAGCACTGTATACACTCCACACCCAAATGAAACCATTCAGCTCTGAATTTCAAGATCTCCTTCCTCACGACCTCCAAAGCTATTTCAGCAGAGTTCACCCACAACAGTAGTCCAAAAGAGGCTGTACAAATGGCAGGCAAGCACGGGGGGGGTGTTTTTTTTGCATCTGGCAGACAAAGAAATGAAAATTTCACCAGCCCTGTTAGAGGGACCTGTTAAAACTCTAACAAATTAGCCCAGAGTTTTACCAACTAGTAGTAAAACTCCAGGTGGCTCAGTATAAATTATTACCACCTTTGGAAAGCACTGGCTTTGTCAAGAGCTATGGGAAATGTTCTCTTCTTTTGATCCAGTAATTCCACTCTAGGAAAGTTATCATAAAGAAATAATTCAACAAAAGAAGAAAACAATTAGGTGGTTATTTCAGCCTTATCTACAAATTTAAAAAGCAACCGAAAGGTTAAGTAAATTATTATTTATGCACTCTATGGAATATTAAGCAGCCATTGAAATGGTAAATGTGAAGGGTATGTGGCCTTAGGGGGAGAGTGATCATTGAATATTAAGTAGGGGAAAGCTCAGAGGAAATGATATGTTCCATGCATTTCCAATTAAGTGCAAATAAATATGCATATGGGCCAAGAGTAGAAGAAAACTGTACTGTGCGAGATTCTCCAAATATGGCGTGATAATTTTGCACATGTTGTTTTCTCTGCCTGGAATGTTCTTACACACACAGACACACACAGAGGCACACATTCATACACAGGTGCATACATTCACACTCATGCATATATATAACTACACATCCATGTGCCCACATAAACATGTCCACTCAATACACACACACATACCCATACATACACACGTAAGTACACGTTCACATACACACTGATATGCTCATGTGCGCACTGCTATTGGCTGCACTGTGTCCTCCTAAAATTCATATGTTAAAGTCCTAACCCCCAGGACCTCAGAAGGTGACTGTATTTGGAGACAAGGTATTTAAAGAGGTAATTAAGGTAAAATGAGGCCTTATTTGTGGGCCCTAATCCAATATGACTGGTGATCTTATAAGAAGAGGAGATTAGGAAAGAGACGCACACAGAGGAATGATCGTGTCAGGACACAGGAAGAAGGTGGTCATTTACAAGCCAAGGAGAGAGATCGTCAAGGGAAGCCAACATGTCAATGCTTCGACTTCACAGTTCTGGCTTCCATAATTATGAGAAAATAAATATCTGTCGTTAAGCCACCCAGTCTGTTGTATTTTGTTATGGCAGCCCTAGGAAACTAATACACACACGTGGACACATGTATATACAATACACATAACACATATGTGCATATTCACACACATGCAAGTAACTCACATATACATATGTGTGCATGCCCACACAATACACACATATACATATATTCACATATACACTCATACACGCACACATGTGCCCACACAGTACACATACACAAACACACTCACAAATACTCCCTTCTCCTTCAAGCCCTGGCTCACATTACCACTTCTGTGAAGCCTGGCCCTTCAGGTAGTACGAGTTGCTCTTTCCTCCATTATCAAATACTTTGGAGGGTAAAAGGGGTCAAATATTTGGTGACAGAAGGAAATTTAACTTTGAGTAGTGAATACACAATGCAATATACATATGATGTATTATTGAATTGTACACTTGAAACCTATATAGTTTTATTAACCAATGTCACCCCCAATAAATTTAATAATAAATAAAATACCTTGGAGATCTTTGTTTATCCATTCTTCCATCCCACAAATATCAGCTGAGCACTGACATTCCTCCAGGAGCTGGGAATACAGCAGTGACCAAACCTAATCTCTTCCTCCTGGAGCTCTCACGCAATTATGACACTTATCTCGTTGTAATGGAGTTTTTTTATTATATGCCTGTCTTCTCCCTCAAACAGGTTCACTCACTGCAGGGCTGGGCTATCCTGAGTGAGGTGTGCTAAGAGTGTATTGGATACTCATTCAGGACAAAGTCCCAAGACTTGAGAAGTTGAAGGGTACACAGAAACAATCCTAAGAGAAGACAGTGATAATTACCAACTCCTTTTCATAAATAAGGAAACTGAAACTTAAGAGGTGACATCACTTGCTTACATTCCTGCAACACGTAAGGAATGGGGGTGATTATCTAACCGTGATCAGCCTGTAAAGACAGAGCTCTCCCTCTTCAGCCCACTGCTGTCGGTGAGAAAACTAGAGATGCCCAGTTACAGCAACGAAGCCTTAAAGGCCTGTGTCCATGGTGCTGAAATGTCCTACCATCTCCCCCAAGGGCCACAAGCCTCCAGAAGCCCAGAGGTACAAAGGTAAAACTTCAGAGGCGCATGGTGATTGGCCAACTCTGCACAGTGAGGTGTGCCTGCCACCTGTGGGAGAGCCAGAGAACCGTCTTGCTTAGTGCTCCTCTTCCCAACACGACACTTCTACCCATGGCCACCATGCTGATCAGCAGCAATGACCCAAATTATGGTGCAGCACCACCTCAAACTTTCTACTTTGCCTCAAATGAATCAATCCCTTGTTGACTATAGAGCTGGTCACAGTCCAACCAACTGGTCAGAATCACCTTTCTCTTCCCTTTTCCCCCAGCTAGATTTGACTCCTTCTTGGGTAGGTCTGACTACAGACTATGACTTTGAGAATGCAACACTGTCTGTTTAGCTCTGGGAGGACATCTCAGGGACTGAAGACACATGCGAACCTGCTGAGCTCTGGAAACCAGCATTCAAAAGCACTTCAGTGAAATAACCACAGGCCCTTCTATTGAGTGTTTACTATATTCAGAAACTGCCCTCTGCACAGTACATACATTGTGCCAGCTAAGCCTCACTATCTACCTGTGAGATGAATAATAGTATTATCCTCATATCTCAAGTGAGGAAAGAAAGGCTCAATTGTATCTAGTCACTTCCCAAGGATCTCACAGCTGCCAAGTGGCAGAGCTAAGGCTGTCCGAGTTTAATCACTACACTCGTTTTCCTCCCAAACTTCCCAGAGACCAGAGCCATATACTGGGGAAGGTACACAGTGCCATCGAAGGAGGTCCAACAGACTGTGCTCAAGTTCAGACTCTACCACCTTCCAGTTGCATGACTCTGAGCCATCTTCTCTCAGAGAATGTTTATTGAGTACCTTCAATATAGGTTCCCAGGTCTCTGGAGCGTTCTAATTATGATGCTCACTTGAATACTAGTTATCAATTTTAGGGATCCTTTTTCTGAGAAAAAAAACTCAACTCAAAATATCTTAACCAAATCATACTGTACAACAATGAAAAGAGATGAAGTACTGCTGTACACAACAACTGGAATGAATCTCACAAATATAATGTTAGGTCAAAGACATCGGGGAAAATATGCATGCTATACAACTGGTTTAAATAAAGTTCAATTAATCTATGGTGTTAGAAATCAGGAAAGTGGTTATCTTTGGGGAGAAGAGATAGAGTAAGAATGTGGAAGTCATAAACAGGCTTTGGGGTACTGAGGAGAAAGAGATAAAGAGAGAAAGAACATATATAGTATTTTATAAACATAAGAATTTATATATTCCCTAGTATACATAGTTTCTTATAAAGTTACATTTTACATATGACCCAGCACTCATACTCCTAAAGATATGAAAAACCTACAAAAACCTATACAAAACCTATACAAAATCTATACAAAAACCTACACATGAATGTTCATAGAAGCTTTATTTGTAATAGCCAATACTGGAAGCAACCTTCAATAAATGACTGGATAAACACATTAGGGTTTGTCCATACCATGGATACTGCTCAACCATAAAAGGGAATGAACTATTGATACACACGAAAACTTGGATGGGTCTCGAGAATATTATGCTTTGTGTAAAAAGCCAAGCTTTGTCAAAAGACTACATACTGTATGATTCCATTAACGTAACATTTTGGAAGTGACAAAACTATAATGTGAAATAATATGTGTACAAAGTATTTATTTTAACAAAGACTAGAAACATCTACCAATAGAAAATTGGTTACATAAATATGGCATCATCTGTTCAATGGCAAATAAGGAGCTTTAAAGA